GGGTGGAGATGGAGGGAGAGTGAGATGAACAGAGTGAGCGAGGCAGAGAGGGGGGCGGTAGAGGGAGAGGGAGAGAGAGAGAGAGAGAGAGAGGAGAGAGAGAGAGAGAGATGAGAGAAAGAGAGAGAGAAGAGAGAGAGAGAGAGAGGAGAGAGTAGAGAGAGACCGAGAGAGAGGAGAGGGATGAGAGGGAGAGAGGGAGAGAGGGAGGAGAGGGAGAGAGAAAGGGGGGAGGGGAGGGGGGGGGAGGGAGAGGGAGAGGGAGAGGGAGAGGGAAGAGGAGAGAGAGAGAGAGAGAAGAGAGAGAGAGAGAGAGAGAGAGAGAGAGAGAGAGAGAGAGAGAGAGAGAGAGAGTGAGAAGAGGAGAGTGTGTGTGAGAGAGAGAGTGTGTGTTGAGAGAGAGAGTGTGTGTGTTGAGAGAGAGAGTGTGTGTGAGAGAGAGTGTGGTGTGAGAGAGAGAGTTGTGTGTGAGAGAGAGAGAGAGAAGTGTGTGTGTGTTGAGAGAGAGAGTGTTGTGTGGAGGAAGTGTGTGTGTGAGAGAGAGAGTGTGTGTGTGAGAGAGAGAGTGTGTGTGTGTGTGTGAGAGAGAGAGTGTGTGTGAGTGAGAGAGAGAGAGTGTGTGTGTGTGAGAGAGAGAGAGTGTGTGTGAGTGAGAGAGAGAGAAGTGAGAGTGTGTAGAGAGTGTGTGTGTGGAGTGAGAGAGAGAGAGTGTGTAGTGAGTGAGAGAGAGAGAGTTCGTAGTGAGTGAGAGAGAGAGAGAGTGTTTGTGGAGAGAGAGAGAGAGAGAGGTTGTGAGAGAGAGAGAGAGTTGTTTGAGAGAGAGAGATGTGTGTGTGTGAGAGGAGAAGAGTGTGTTGTGAGTGAGAGAGAGAGGAGAGTGGTTTGTAGAGATAGAGTAGAGAGAAGAGATGTTTGTGAGAGAGAGAGAGCAGAGTGTTTGTGAGAGAGAGAGAGAGGTTTTGAGAGAGAGAGAGTGTGGTGTGTGTGGAGAGAAGAGAGTGTGTGTGTGTGAGAAGAGAGTGGTGTGTGTGGTGAGAAGAGAGGAGAGTGGAGTGTGTAGTGAGAGGAGAGTGAGTGTCGTGTGAGAGAGAGAGTGAGTGGTTGAGAAGAGAGAGAGTGAGTGTGTGAGAGAGAGAGTGTGTGTGTGAGAGAAGAGTGTGTGTGAGAGAGAGAGTGGTGTGTGAGAGAGAGAGTGTGTGTGTGAGAGAGAGAGTGTGTGTGTGAAGGAGAGAGGGTGTTGTGACGGAGAGAGAGTGTGGTGTGTGAGAGGAGAGAGTGCTGTGTGAGAGAGTAGAAGTGTAGAAGGAGAGAGAGTGTGTGGTGAGAAGGTGAGTGAGAGGAGAGAGTGTGTGTGTGAGAGAGAGAGAGTGTGTGTGTGAGAGAGAGAGAGTGTGTGTGGAGAGAGAGAGTGTTGTGTGTGTGAAGGAGAGAGAGAGAGAGAAGAGAGAGAGAGAGAGAGAGAGAGAGAGAGAGAGAGAGAGAGAGAGAAGAGGAGAGAGAGGAAGAGAGAGAGAGAGAAGAGAGAAAGAGAAAGATGAGAAAGAAGAGATGGAAAAGAAAAGAAAACAAAAAGACAAAAAAAAAAAACATGGTGTAGATACGTGACTCCCCTCTCGCTCGACACAGCAAACACCTACACCTGTCATGCATTTTGTCCGAGACTCCTCACTTTCCCCCCAACGGACACCGTGTTCGAGACCAGACGGCCGGTCCCAACACGTACCAGTATCCCGTAGTCAAGTCAGTCAATCGGTCAGCTCATTCCGTCTGCCATTCACTTTTTGTTATATGGGACTTTACGTAAGGATGCAAGTGCAGTCAAATGCTGATAAAACCTAAACCAGTCGCAGAAAGTCACTAAAATAAAGTGTAAACAAACATTACAAAAGAGAAAAACCCCAGAGAGAAAAAAACAACACAAAAAAAATCATCAAAAAATAACAAAGATAGAAGAAAAGAAAGAAAAAAGAAAAAGAACAAGAAAGAAATGAAAAGAGAAGAAGAAAAAACAGGAGAAAATGGAAAGAGAAGAAAAAAAAAGAAAGAAAAATGAAAGAGAAAGAAAAAAAAACAGAAAAAAAAGGAAAGAGAAGAAAAAAACAGAAAGAAATGAAAGAGAAGAAGAAAAAAAACAAGAAAAGAAAATGAAAGAAGGAAAAGAAAAAGAAAGAAATGAAAGAGAAGAAAACAAGAAAGAAAATAGAAAGAAAGAAAAAAAAGAAAGAAAATGAAAGAGAAGAAGAAAAAAATGAAAGAAAATGAAAGAGAAGAAGAAAAACAAGCGCAAGAAAATGAAAGAAAAATACAAGAAAGAAAATGAAAAAGAAAGAAAAAAAAAAGAAAGAAAATGAAAGAGAAGGAAAAAAATCAAGAAAGAAAACGAAAGAGAAGAAGAAAAAAAACAGAAAGAAAATGAAGAGCAAGACACGCCCTTAAAAGCTAAACTTCCTTCTTTTAACGACTCTCCCGCAACTTCCGAGAAAAAATCCGAAGTCCTTACCAGCGAGGGCGCCGCGCGGTCCTTGGCGAACGGCGACTGGGAACTCAGGTCAAGCCGTTCCCTGCCCCTGGGGGAGAGGACAAGGTCAAAGGTCACTTTAGATAATAATAATAATAATGGATAAAATTATGAGAAAATAGTAATATCAGTGGAGGTTTAGTGTAATGACAAAATATTGATGATAAGACGATAAAGATGATGGTGATGATGTATGAATAATAATTGAAAAGATGATGGTGATGATGATGATGATGATAATGATAGTAAATTGATAAGATATGGTGATGATGATCAATAATGATAATAATTGATAAAGATGATGGTGATGATGATGATTATGATAACAATTGATAATGATGACAAAGATCATGAGATGATGACCAATAACAAACAATCATGTTCATCCTATCACTACTCCTACTACTGATAATAACCAAAATAAACATGAACGTTTTACCGCCTCTTGCAAAACGAGAGAGTGACAACGGGGGTTCAATATCAGCATAGAATCGACATGATTACGATGACGGTCAATAATAAATATGAAACTTGATGGACTGACATGACATCAGCCACGAGCGACCAATTATCTTAATGATTGCATGGCCATAAGCAAAATGATGATGATAAAAAAAAAAAAAAAAAAGGGAGAAATATGTTTTAGGCTTGTCATACACAGGCACGTTCCAACACGTTGTCTTTGTGAACGTAATGAATTTCTTCTACAAAAGAAAAAAAAACATATATAATCACAGGTATACACAGAAATACTTACGAATATTCCCTCACACACACACACAAACACACTCTCTCTCTCTGACAATCAACCAAAAAAAACAAACATGCAAATAAGACAAAAAAATAAAAATATATAAAAACAACAACAACAAAAACAATGTGCAGGGGATCACAGCCCCAGCGGACATAATTCTGAATCAACGACGGCGCTGCACTACTTCAAAAGCACTGCATTTTCGACCCTCGCGCACCACTTAATTAATGAAGCTATATATAGATTGCCGTGCGATTATATTTTCGGGAGAGGAGGGCGAGCGCGCTGGAGATGCCGGGGGGGAAGGGGGAGAAGCGAGGGAGTGGAATGGGCAAAGGGATGGGAGAAAGATTGAGGAATAAGAGAAAGAGGAAGAGAGAAAGGAAAGAGAGTATGGAAAGAAAGATTGAGGAAGTGAGTGAAAGAGAAACGAGAGAAGGATGAGAATAAGGCTGGGGGAAGAGAGAGAGACAGGGAGCGAGAGCATAAGGGGGGTGGAAGTGGAGTGGAAGAAAGAGTGCAAGAGGGGAAAATTGGGAGAGAAGAGAGGAGACGAAAGAGAGGAAGAGAGGAGAGAAGAGAGGAAGAGAGGAGAGGAAAGGGAGAGAAAGAGAGAGAGAGATTGAGAGGGAAAGAGCGAGAAAGAAAAAGAGAAAAAGAGGAGAAACGATGAAATTAATCGAGAACAAAGTCCTCCAGAATACACTAACGGCGCCCTCTTCCCCTCGCCCACACACCAACCCTTCACCCTTTCCCCCTGCCTCTCCCCTCCCTTCACCCTTTCCCCCTGCCTCTCCCCCTCCCTTCACCCTTTTCCCCCTTCCTCTCCCCCCCTTCACCCTTTTTTCCCTTCCTCTCCCTCCCTTCCCCCTTTTCCCCCTCCTCTCCTCTTCACCCTTTCCCCCTTCCTCTCCCTCCCTTCCCCCTTTTCCCCCTTCCTCTCCCCTCCCTTCACCCTTTTCCCCCTTCCTCTCCCCTCCCTTCACCCTTTTCCCCCTTTCCTCTCCCCTCCCTTCACCCTTTTCCCCCTTTTCCTCTCCCTCTTCCCTTTTCCCCTTCCTCTCCCCTCCCTTCACCCTTTTCCCCCTTCCTCTCCTCCCCTTCACCCTTTTCCCCCTTCCTCTCCTCCTTCTCCCTTTCCCCCTTCCTCTCCTCTCCCTTCACCTTTCCCCCTTCCTCTCCCCTCACCCTTTCCCCCCCTTCTCTTCCCCTCCCTTCCCCTTCCCCTTCCTCTCCCCTCCCTTCACCCTTTTCCCCCTTCCTCTCCCCTCTTCACTTTTCCCCCTTCTCTCCCCTCCCTTCACCTTTTCCCTTCCTCTCCCCTCCCTCCCCCTTTTCTCCCTCTTCACCCCTTTTCCCCCCCTCTCCCTCCACCCTTTTCCCCCCTTCCTCTCCCTCCTTCACCCTTTTCCCCCTTCCCTCCCTCCCTTCACCTTTTTCAACCCTTTTCCCCCCTTCCTCTCCGCCTTCCACTCCCCTCATGGAACTAACGAGGCTCTCATCTCATGTGGGATGAAAAGTGTCCCTTTGATCCCGGCTCAGATCACGCTCCGCTTCCAGCACCCGAGCCTCCGAGACCACTTCCAATACCAGCGCACATACTCACGTTCTCGTTCTCTCTCTCTCTTCTCTCTCCCCCTCTCTCCACTCCCCTCCCCCCTCTCTCTCTCCTTTCGCATCTCTCTCTCTCTTTCACATATACACACACACACACACACACATACACATACAACACACAAACAACACACACACACTCTCTCTCTCTCACACACACACAACTCTCTCTCTCTCTCTCTCTCTCTCTCTCTCTCTCTCTCTCTCTCTCTCTCTCTCACACACACACACACACACACACACATACACACACAAACAACGAAACAAACACACCAAAACACGCAGCTCACGTACAAAGACCATAATAAAAGAAGAAACATATATATAATCAAATCAAGACGCCCCCAGGAAGATGAACCGAGGCAAGAAAGAAATAACGAAAGAAAGAAAGAAAGGAAAAAAAATAATAATGAGGTCAATAAAAGCCCGAGAATGATAACAACATGAAAGGAAAACACCCGCACCCGTACGATTTTATTCCGCCTTAAGAGATTAAAAGAAAAGAAAAAAAAAAACGTAATGGCCAAAAGCAAAACAAAAAATGAAAGAGAAACGAAAGCAAAAACAAAAAAAATGAAAGAGAAACGAAAAGCAAAAAAAAAAAATGAAGAGAACGAAAAGCAAAAAAAAAAAAAAAAAAAAAGTAAAAGAAAAAAAAAAAAAAAACACCTGTAGCAGAGTTGCAGGTGGATTCCTCAAGAGTTAATTAAATTGATGGAGATATCTCGTGGGAAGGAGGAGGAACAGCAGTCGGAGGAGGAGGCAAGAGGGGAGGAGGGGGAATAGGGGAGGCAGAGGGGAGGAGCAGGGACGGGAGGAAGGTGGGAGGCTGAAGAGGGGGGGGGGGAGGAGGGACGGGAGGAAGGTGGGAGGCTGAAGAGGGGGGAGGGGAGGGGGAGGCTGAAGAGGGGGGGAGGGGAGAGGAGAGGGAAGAGGAGGCAGGGGGAGGAGGGACGGGAGGAAGGTGGGAGGCTGAGGAGGGGAGGGGGGAGGCGGAGGCGGTGGGGAGGGGGAGGAGGAGGAGGTAGAGCATGTGAGGGATAGTACTGGGGGCACAGGGAAGAGGAAGTGGGAGAGGAGGGTCGGTGGGCAGATGGGAGGTGGAAAGGGTGGAAAGGGGTAGGGAGGGTAGGGTGGTGGTGGAGGAGGGGAGGAGGGGAAGGGTAAGAAGAGGAGGAAGAGAAGGAAGGGGAAGAGGAGCGCCAGAGGAGATAGAGAGAAGGACGGATGGTACTGGGTGAGGGGAAACAGGGATGGTGGGAAGAGAATAAGAAGGGGACGTGGAGGATGGAGGAGAGGTAGGGAAGGAAGGGTGGTGAGGGAAGGAACAAGAAAAAAGGGATGGTAGTCGGAGGAGGAAGAGGGAAAGGGGAGGAGGAGGAGGGGGAGAGAGGAAGAGGAAGAAGAGTGAAGTGAGTGGGATGTTTAGAGGAGGAAACAGGGAGGGGCAGGATGACCAGGCGGAAGAGGAGAGGCAGCGAAGAACAAGAAAGGGGGGAAGCTTAAGGGAGAGCAGGTGACGTAAAAATAATAAAGTTAAAGACACACACACACACACATACACACATATATATACATACAAATATTATATATATATATGTAAATATATAACATATATAAACACACACACACACACACATATATCCGGCAGATACAAAAGCATCAGCTGAGAGTGGCAGCGCCTCAGTGAGCTCGAGAGGCCGTCACTCCAACGACCTCTTCCACAACCCCAAAGGCTCACCCAATCTCACTCGACCCAACGAACTAATCGACAATCCCTTTTCACAATAAACAACCTCAAGGGCCAATCACCAAGCCTCTAATGAACCCGACAACAAGTTCAAAACGTGTTGTGATTTTTTGAGCGAGCAATTGATTGAATAATCGAGTAGCTGTTTCTGCCACACACACACACACACACACACACACACGCACACACACGCACGCACACTCATTCAAATATAATGAAGAAGACTATTTTCGGAGAACTCGTGCAGGATCCGGGGCTTTGCGGCTATTATCAGATATCCTGCAAGCTGCATACTGCATGCCGTATTGATATCCAATGCTCACACCGGTTAGCGGAAGTCTCCATCTCCTAATCGATGGAGTTAGTCTATCGGCCAGTGTCACCTAAAATTTAACAAGTTATCAATGCCATTAAATAAATCTAAATCGAAACTCTAGATACAACGGTTATATCCATGAGAACGATTTTTTTTTTTTTATTGTTTTTATTTTTTATTATTATTATTTTTTTTTTGACTCATCCAAGGGAAGGACAGTAGGAAACCACACCATTACCTGCTTTCCCTGACACGCCTAAAAGTGCTAAGTGAATAAAGTGTCTGCTCAAGAAAGGAGAGGAGAGGAGGCGAGAGAGGGGGGAGGGAGGGGAGGGAAAAAAAAGAGGAGAGGGGGAGATGGGGAACGAGGAAGGAGGAGAAGAAGAGGAGGAGAGGGAAAATGTGAGAGAGAGGGGAAAAGAGAGAGAGAGAGAGAGAGGGGAAAAGAGAGAGAGAGAGAGAGAGGGAAAAGAGAGAGAGAGAGGGAAAAGAGAGAGAGAGAGGGGTAAAGGGGGAGCGAGGAAGGAGAGGAGAAGAAAGGAGAGAGAGGGAAGAAGGAGGAGGAAAGGAAAATAGAGAGAAGAGAAGAGAAGATAAGAGAGAGAGAGGGGGGGGAGTATGAGTATGTGTGTATGTACGTGTATGCCCGAGTCCGTATGTAGGCATCCATCCAGTTGTGTCCTTGCAATATCGAGATTGAAAAGTCGTGAAATGAACAAGAGGTGGGATTGAGGATGAGCGGGGGGGGGAGGGGAGGGAGGGGAGGGAGGGAGAGGGGAGGAGGAAAGAGGAAAGAGGGAAAGAGGGAAAGAGGGAAAGAGGGAAAGAGGGGAAAGAGGGAGAGAGAGAGAGAGAGAGAGAGAGAGAGAGAGAGAGAGAGAGAGAGAGAGAGAGAGAGAGAGAGAGAGAGAGGAGAGAGAGAGAGAGAGAGAGAGAGAGAGAGAGAGAGAGAGAGAGAGAGAGAGAGACAGAGAATATCACCCCCTCCCCACACCGGAATTGCAGCAACGAAATTCGGGAAGAAAAGTCCAACGCAAAAGTGTATCCATGGAGATCACGGCGTCCCGTCTTCGGCGTGGACTAGGACGACGAATAAAGCTACGAACAAACCGAACACACGAAGAGAAAATCGCCACGCATTACGCAAGGAGTTCTCGTCACGAAAGCTGATCACGAGTCCACTTAAGAATGAAAAAAAAAAAAAAAAAAAAAAAAATAATAATAATAATAATAATAACAACAAAAACAATAAAAAAAAAAAAAAAATCGAAGTTCGCTAGAAAGAGCAGAAATTCCTCTCGGTTCTCGCGCGACGAATAAATACGAAATATCTAACAATTCTATACAATATTCAGCTCTTGAGTGTTTGGAGAATGCGTGTCCTGCATTTCGAAAGATCTGAGGGCGGAGTGTGCACTTCGGGCGATCCACTCTGAAGTGAAGAGATTAAGCCTAGAGTGATGGAATCGGACACTTCTAACTGAGGAGGGAGAAACAGTTGGAGAGGAGAGAGAGAGAGAGAGAGAGAGAGAGAGAGAGAGAGAGAGAGAGAGAGAGAGAGAGAGAGAGGAGAGAGAGAGAGAGAGAGAGAGAGAGAGAAAGAAAAAGATGGAGAGAGACAATAAAAGAAAGAGGTAGAGGAGAGAGAGAGAGAGAGAGAGAGAGAGAGAGAGAGAGAGAGAGAGAGAGAGAGAGAGAGAGAGAGAGAGAGAGAGAGAGAGAGAGAGAGAGAATATGGAGAGAGACAATAAAAGGAGGTAGAGGAGACAGAGAGAGAAAGGGGAGAGGAGAGACAGAGAGAGAAAGGGGGAGAGGAGAGACAGAGAGAAAGGGAGAGGAGAGACAGAGAGAGAAAGGGGAGAGGAGACAGAGAGAGAAGGGGGAGAGGAGAGACAGAGAGTAGAGGAGAGAGAGAGAAAGAGAACGAGGGAGAAATAGAGAGAGAAAGAGGAGGGACATAAATAGGAGAGGGCACGGATTAAGCGAGAGAACTAATTAAACCGCATAAATAAGAAAGGCAAGTGGAAATACGAAATATGAAAAAGATATAAAATAAAAGGAAAACAAACTTAACTAGCAAAGAGAAGCCAAACATACAAAATAAATAAATAAATAAATAAATGAATAAAATAAAATAAAATAAGAACATGAAAATAGGAAAAGAGAAAGACAGAGAAAGTGAGACAGGGAAGGAGGGGAGTGGAGGTGAGGGGAGGGGAGGGAAGGGAGGGAGAGAAGAGAGACAGAGAGGATAAAGAAACGAGAGAGAAGAGAAAAGAAAGCGAGAGAGGTAGAGAAGAGGAAAAAGAAAAGAGAGAAGAAGAAAAAAAGTGAGAGAAGAGAAGAAGAGGAAGAAAAAGAAGAGCGAGAGAGAGAGAGAGAGAATACAACCAAAGCAGATCCCCTTCCCCCCCACCCCCCACCCCAGGACTTAGTGCTTCCAACCCAATCTTTACTGCTAACAGATCCGACTCTCTCCAGCCGACATTGTCAAGGAGGGAGGGAGGGAGGGGGAGGGGTGGGGGGAGAGTGAGAACTGACCTCCTTCCCCTCACCCCCACCCCCACCCCCTCCCCCAGAGTTTCACAAAGAGGCATTCCAACATCTCTTGCAGTTCTTTACGGACGGGGGGGGGGGGGGGGAGCGTCGCGTTGATCTCTTGCCAAGATGAAATTGCAAAGGTGCTGGTGGTGGTTGCCTTTCGTCTCCTGTTTCTTTTAATTTTCATCATAATTATCTTTTTTTATCATTATATCCTCCTCCTCGTCTCTCTCTCTCTCTCTCTCTGTCACCACTGGCCCCATTCTTCCATCTCTGCCTTTCCCTTACTTCATCACCTCGTCCTTTACCCCTTCTCTTCCTCTCTTTCTACTCTTCAACCTCTTTCCTTTTCCACTCCATCCCCTTCCCTTAACCCCTT